AAGAAAATTTTTTGGATGGAATGCATTTAATATGGGTGGTATTCGAAGTTTCATTAAAGTACTTCAAAATGATCTTGAAAATAAAATGAAGGTGGTGTATCTGTTTTATTATAATACACAACTATTATTCTATGATTTAAAATAATACTGTATTTAAATTATATTACATCTTTTTTTTGTTTAGAATACAAAAGTTGATGGTACAATTAATAAAATCTTTGCTGGCATGATAAAAACTTATATTAAATGTGTCAACGTGGATTATGAGTATCAACGTGTTGATGAATACTATGGTAGAGCCAATGTATTATTATATTACATCGAATAATTAATTCTATATATTTATATTAATTTATATTTATTTTCAATAGATATTCAAATTACGGTTAAAGGTGAAACCCTTGATGATTCCTTTATGAAATTTACTCAAGAAGAAAATTTAGATGGAAATAATAAATATGATACAGAATTTTATGGCTTGCAAGTAAGGTTCCATTTATCTACTCCATCATTAAGGTAATAAACAGTATATAATGTAATATACATTTATAGGCTGCAAAAAAAAGGGTAACCTTTGAAAGTTTCCCACCTGTATTGCGCATATATTTAGAAAACGATTCGGATCAGGATAATAATTGCGAATATCCCACCGAAATTGATTTACAAAAATATTTATCTCCAGATGTAGATAAATCAAAATCGTGTAGATATTTATTATATGGGTTTGTAGTAAATTAATTCTAGTATTGTTAATGTTTTACTCAGAATATATAATTTATTATTTATTATATGATTTCATTGTAAGTCAGAGTAATTGTTTACGATAGTTTAAATATGATATACGTTGCATTTATAAGACCAGATTTAAATTATGGATGGTTGGTTATATTAATGTTCTATTTCTATCGTACACACTGCATATTAATAATCTTTTTAAAATGTCAGGTTAAAATTTAATGATGATCAAGTTACTCTAGAATCATATGGAGAAATATTTCAGGAATTCCATGACCCACATATATTAGTATATATTTGTGAATCTGATGTCAATGAAATATTATCTCCAATACTTCCTAAAGACATACCGAAATGTTTCCGTAAGTGTATTTCACAATAAAAATATATTTATACAATTTAACTGTAGTCAGAAACAAGAATTTTTAATTATGTTCTATTTCATAGATGAAGAAAAAGAAAGTGACCTACATATGCAAACTTGGGTAATTTATTTATCATTTTGGAACATAAAATTGTGATTAAATATTAACATTTGATTATTTTAGATTGTAACTGAAGAGATATTTAAGGG